TTCATTTCCAGGCAACAGATTCTCAGCGAGACATCCATAGCACACAGACTATCTAGACAGCTGTCTGACCCCTTCTATCCAGATTGTAACCGTCTGTATTTTCTCTGGGTATAAAAGAACAGTATTTTCAGATTGGCAATAAAAGATATTTTCATTTGGAAGATGCTTCCTTTTAAGATTCTATAAAACAATCAGTAAACGTCACAAGTTTAATTCCTTCTTAAAAAGAAGTCTGATTCCTGAGCTTAAATCTGCAGTAGATTTTTAATAGAGTATAGAGTCTTTCAGATTGGAAAACAAACAAACAAACAAACAGAAAAAAAGTAGTCAATAAATGTACAGTAATCCATCATTTTCTTTTGTGCTACTCACTGGCCAAGGGCTATCAGCACTTATGACACTTTCCAAACAACTCAAATCCACTGATCTGTGCATTGGGACTGGCGACATGTGCCAGATTTGGTAATTAAAACACTATATTTGTATTTATCTCTTTATTCAGTTCTTTAAGAAAAAATCTGCAGTTAAGACTTGTTTAAGCTCAGGAGAGGCAATGCTAATGTTTTCACAGTATTTTCTTTTACTTTGAACCTCTAGCCACAGGAAGAATTCATCCCACAGGCCTAGAGGCAGATCTCTGCATTTTCCTCATGAATACTTACCCAGGATGGAATCATTTAATATGATTCACAGGTGTTTAATATGAATCACAGGTGTTTGTTTTACCTTCAGCTGGATAAGGACAGAAATCATCAGCTCAGAAAGCCTCTCTCCATCTTGTGTACCTTGCTCATGTTGCTGGGCAGTTGAGGTCAAATCTGGCTCCAAGGGGAGTTTTGCCACAAGACTTTGTCTCTTATACAAAACAAAATAAAGCATTAACAATTTATGGAGAGCAGCATTATAAAGGAAATCACAGTTCTCTGTTTCAGGCTACGGATTCTGTGCAGCCTGCTTTAGTGTGAAGGGTAGAGGCAGCACATGAACATCATCCCCTTTTCTGAGATGCCAGGGAAGAGGAAGTTCTGCTTCCATGAATAACCACTGGGAAGTTTGCTCTGATCCCTGCACACCCAGAAAATAGTAGTGCCTGGTGTTACTCAGAGTACTTTCATACAGTCAGGAAAATATTTTCTGAATGCTCCTGATTCTTGCTAGGGAAAACAGGAGTTCATTTTTTCATTCATTCACATTCATTCTACATGCAATTTATTTTCTGGACCCTTCCAAACAACAACACAGACAGAATACAACCTAGCAGATGAGAACTTCAGAAGACCATCCCAGCTTGCAAAAAGAGTGATCTTATCAGTAACACCGTTAGAGATATTTATTGTGTTCCCATTTTCAAAATTGCATTCATGCCTTCCACAGTTCCAGACGAAAGGCTAGAATTTTACTTTTCCTCTATTAGCAATACTTAGTAGGATGCTTTTCATAAAGGTACTGTTCAAGAACTCCTTTGTGAGTGCTTGTAAGGAAAACAAAGGAGTAGTTAGATGCCTACAAGCAGCTACTGCTGAAAATAACGAAGGGAAATTCTCCCTTTGCTGATGTTTTCTTCTGAGTCCCAGCTGTCTCACAGTTATTTTGTTCATGCTAAGTCTCAGTCAGATATCTTGATCTTAAGAAAAGTCTGCATCTAGCTTCAACTTTTACTGTTAATGACTGGTATAATAAATATGGGGCCTATTGACCTCATTTTATTCCAAGTTGGCAGGTATTTGCTTCTTAGCTTGCGCTGAAAGGTTTGGGGCCATCTCTAATTCACAATCCTCTTTAAAACTTTATTATCCCAATAAATTCTGAGATGTTTTTTTTACTGGACTTTGAACTTTTCTCCTGATGGATAACTTTTATTTTCACGCTTGGAAATGAACTCTTTTAATGCTGAGGTCACAGTTTGTGCACACAAATGTTATCCTAGATTTAGGAGCCAGCAAGCCTCTCAAGAATGTGTGCCTTCTAATTAAAATCCATATAAAAAAAGATTTTCCCTTTACCAGCTTGCTGAAACTTTATATCTGATCTGATACCTTTCTACTTAGTAAGAAAAATACGTTGTTTCATTTTTTCCATGACATTCACTTTGGCAGCATGATAGAGAATCAACTACTGCTGTAACCTGCCTGTGACATTTTTGTGGTCATTGATATAAATAAATAAATAAATCCTTAGAAAACAACAGCCACACTACCAAAATGTCTTGTCTGGCTGGAAAAGAACATTGCATTATCTAAAATCAGTTCTGTATGGGATTTGCATGAGAATCTGTAAAAGACTGAAAGCAAAGCTGTTCCAGGAATTCTAATAGCTTCTTGCAGATTTTTAGATTCCTGCAGTTTTCATTTGAAGTGCTAATGCCAAGTCTTCCTTTTGAAGAAGGATGCCATAAAATATGAGAGGCCTAAAAAAGTCAATAAAAGGTTAACAATGTCCTGAGCTTTCATCTTTTGGATTTGCTGTTACAACTTTGAGGATTTAATTATTGTCTCCTACAGCCTCATCCCTTACTCGAGGGGTGGCTACAAACACCACCTCATTCATGGGGTGTGCTGTGAGAAGCTGCCGCATATCCCCATGTGCTGGGAGACACAGCCACAGGCCCACAGGCCCTCAGACTTCATCAGAAGGCCCTCAGGCCATCATCAGAGGAACTTAAAGGCTGGATGTGGTGCTTAGAGACATGGTTTAGTGGGTGACGTTGGTAGTAGGGGGATGGTTGGAGCAAATGATCTTGGAGGTCTTCTTCAACCTTGGTGGTTCTATGAACTAGGTGTGACTTATATGATACACATGGGTATTACAGTCCTTTAGGAAACATCTGTCAGAGAAGCCTTTTGGAGAGTTGTATAAACCATACACAACCGTGTTGACTTTATTGAATGAACTTCTCACAAAATACTGTTGGGAACCCAAACCAGCAGGTTACTGCTCTGGATAAACACTTGAGCAGTTCCATTGTGTCCAGGCCTGACACCGAGGTGATGGAACAGAATCACCTAGGTTGGAAGAGACCTCCAAGATCATCGAGTCCAACCTCTGACCTAACACTAATAAGTCCTCCGCTAAACCATATCTCTAAGCTCTAAATCTAAATGTCTTTTAAAGACCTCCAGGGATGGTGACTCGAAGCTCACCATGAGCTCCAGCTACCCAGGATCAGCCAGGGCCTAGCAAGCAGGCCGCCCTCGGCACTGAAGATTACACGAGCTGAAGTAACTTTTGAAATCATTGTGATTTAATTATGCCTATAAACAAAACTTTTCACACACAACAAAAGATTATTCAATATAAGGAATTTGCTGTCTTTTAAGTACTTTCCTGAAGATACTAATAATTTAAAGTAATCCTTTCTCTTCTTTGCAAATTGCATTATTTAAAAACTGCAGTTCACATCTGAAAATCCCAGGGAGTAATTTCCCATCCCAAATAAGGCCTGAACTGGCAACTTGTGGAGTTTGTTCCAATTACAGAGTCAGCAAAATCAGGACATTTTATAATTATAGATTTTGGCTGTTGTTCTTGCTGATTAATGCATTTAGATCCTCAGATGTTCTTACTGAAGGAAAGGCAAAAATGTTATTAGTTTTCTAATTTATTGCAGGCAGAGTTTTCAAATAATGAGGGAAATGCTTAGACATAAATATGCTGAAAATAGACACATTGGGGACTCAACAAAAATATTTTATCTTAATAACCTGTCAGAAAAAATCAAGCATTATTATACAAACCCAGAGTAAGATTTTATCACGTTTACTTTTTAGGCAAGCTTGTAACTTGCATTTAGGTTCAGCATCGCTCAACAACTTTTCCTACAGACCAACTCTCATCTTTCCAGCAAGTTAGCTGACTTTTTGAGCCCATGCAGTACATTGCTTTCCAGTACCACAAGTGGATAATGCTGCAAGTATTCAAATAACAAAGATATCTTCCAAAGTCCATTTGTTCCACTGTAGGCACATTTACTAAAACAATCCAAAGTATTTAAGAAAATTATTCAAGCAGAACTGTCATCCTAGAGCTTCTCCCATTTCAGTGATAATCATGCAGCTTGAGGTTAAAAAATAATTCTGCTGCTCAAAAACCTGCACAAAGGGGGAACAACAGAATCATTAGAGGTTTGTTCCAAACAAAACTCCCTAATGTTCTAATTAAATGATGCACATTCTGCTTTTTAAAACAGCCTTAACATTTGCAAAATGCTTACCTTGTAAAAGTTGCTTTCTACATAGTTCAAAATGCCGCATCGTCAGCTAACAAAATCCCACCCTAACACATGGTATTCAGCGTGCCTCATTTGGTGCTGGAAATTGTTACAGATTTCATGGCAAACGTTTTTCCAAGTTATTGAACAAGTCTAGGTGAATCAATACTTACACAGAGCCCTCTCCCTCCCCCCAAGAAAAAAAAAAACAGAGCAGCAGTGCAAAAATCAAATAGCTACTTTGCCACTTGGGGAGAAGACAAACATTGAAGGAACAGGACGATCTGGTTGTGCAAAATGTTTTCTTAATTTTAACCCCCACCCTCAGCTTCTGGAGGAGCATATTCCTCTGTCTTACTCTCCCTGATCAATGTACGTAAGGTCCTTTCAGTTTGCTTTTATTATTGCAATAACTCAGTCTGTTGTTTGCGCTTAACAGACATGCAGAAAAAAGGGATCCACCACTGAATCCCTGCCTCCCAGAGCTGGAAGCTGATTGAACACACACAAAATGCCAAGGTTACTTTCTAACACAAAGTTTGTGTTAGAAAGTGTTTCACAGTCTGCATAATACAATATTTTGCAGAACTAGTGAACCTTGTAGAAGACAGATTAACTCTCAATCTGTATTAGGCTTATTTAAGCTCTTCAGCATCAACTGCCCTACTTTACATGCATTTCTTCAGTAGAACAAGGTAGACATTTAATTTCACAGCATGTCTAAAATTGGTGCAGAGATGCTGGTTAGCGCTTTCAGGGCTTTATCTGATAGATAGTTGATACGGTGCGATCACATAATCCATGAGTTTTTATTTTTTAGATATCACACACAGGAAACTTTGAAACACACTTTAAACCTAAAAAGAAACAAACATATGCATGGCATTTGTACAGTTACAAGTTAATTCACTCAGAAGACTATTGGGTTGACCTTGGCTGGTCACCCTGTGCCCACCAAGCTGCACCCTCACTCCCCCTCCAAAGCAGGGCAGGGAGAAAGAAAAAACAAAAACAAAATAAAAAAAATAACAAAACTTGTGGGTTAAGATAAGGACAGAGAAATCACTCACCACTTACCATCATAAGCGAAACAGACCCAGCTTGGAAAAGACTAATTTATTGCAATTAATAGGCCAGAACACTGAGAACTAAAAGCAAACTAATCCCACCTTCCCTTCAGCCCTTTTCTTTCCAGGCTCAAGTTCAATCTCAATAATTCTACTTCCATCCCAAGTGGTGCAGGCAAATGGGGGCTGTGGTCAGTCCATGACACTTATCACTGCTGCTCCTTCATGGTCCCTCTCTGCCCCTGCTCCATGTGGGGTTTCTCCCACGGGATGCCGTCCTTCTCAAACTGAGCCTGCGGGGGCTGCCCACAGGCAGCAGCTCTTCAAGCACTGCTCCCAGACAGCTCCATACCACAGGGTCCATCCCTCAGGAGCAAACTGCTCCAGCACGGGTCCCCCACAGGTGGCAGCTTGCCCCAGATCCCATTCCTGCATGGACTCCATGGACTCCTCTCCATGGACTGCAGCTCTGGCCAGCAGCTGCTTCTGTGTGTACTCTTCCCAAGCTGCAGTTTCCTTCAGAGCACACCCACCTGCTCCAGCACGGGGTCCTCTGCAGGCTGCAGTGCGGAGAATGGCCCCAACATGGGCCTCCACAGGCTATGGGAGGACAGCCTGCTTCACCATGACCCTCCCCACCAGCTGCATGGTAATCTGCCCTGGCACTTGGAGCACCTCCTCCCCCTCCTTCTCTACTGACCTTGATTTCTGGTGGGTTGTTTCAAGTTTTTCCTCACTCCTCTCTCACAGCTGCTGTGCAACACTTTTTATCCTTGCTTGAATGTTATCACAGAGCCACCACCAGTATCACACACACACATTTACTTTAGCCAGCAGCAGGTCCCTTTTGGAACACTGTCCCCTAAACCCAATACAAAGACCTGGCCCTGACACTCTGACGTCTCATTTTACAGACTGAAGGTAGATAAATACAGAAGTTGGATGCATTCTAAACTCTCAAGTATTTCTTTACTAAGTTCAGAAGTATTTGACAACACTTGCAAGTGTAGCTACAATGAGAGTAGGGTACCAGGCTAGAGCTACACTATAGGGTTTAGAATTTCTATATAGTGACCAGTTTAAATATTTACTATTAATTGTGTTACAGGAGTGTAGTGATCTTCAGAAGTATCATAACAAGAGCAGCCAACACTACATTTAACAATTACATTTTTCACATCAGTTTTAAAATGTTATAATTCACTGGGTGAACAAACATTAATAACAAACCACCACATTTAGTTAGACTGGCCACTTTATGTTTTATAAGCTTATTTCTTTGCTGTACAAAGGCAGAAATGCAGACCACCTCAATAAATCTACATCAGTAACTACCCAGACATTATACAGATATACAAAAAGCCCATTTATTTTTCAGTGTTGATACCATAGTTAATGCAGAGCTGGATGCTACAATGCAAACAGCATCTACACAGTGTAAGGCGTAACTCTCGTAGTATTTACATCTTGTTCCTTATAGTGAAGGCTTCTGATGCATCAAGCTCTTTCTTCATCTGTATTTGACGATCCTGCTTAGCAGTAGTGCAGCCTCAGAACTGAAAAGTGCATTTCTTCATTACATACATTCTCAGAAGGATTGTGGATTGTTCCAGAAACAGTTTCCAACAGTTTCATTTTAGGAGTCATTCATTAAGTATGTTTTCCGTCAATTAAAGTCATTTCATAAGCTAAAAATACTTTCCCAAAAGCTCCGTAGGTCACATGCAATTACGAAAACAAAGCTCCTAAAAGCAAATCTAGGAACTATCATCTTCTGACTTGGAAAGATAAAACAATCCCGTGAAACCATTCAATCCACTGCTGTTTTAAATTAAAAACACTCCAGAGCATTTCAGGTCGGTAAGTTCGCAGTTCCAAGCAGCTTTGGAAAAACTCTATAACAGATATTTACATTCTGTATTTGATTTTGAGTTGTAATTCATCTATCTCAGCGTATATACATATATATATTACTTCTTTATTTTTATTTTTTGGAGATATCACTCTGAAAGGGAAGTGAAAGAGGAATCTAGTTACTGTCACTGTAGGAAATATAATTGAGTCATTTCACAAGCAATGCAGTGTTAAATGAAAGCCCAAGATTAAATAGTCAACTCTTCCTCTCTACTATGAAGTAGAATTGCTAAAAATAAACTCTTACGTCTTCTGAGCTACCACAGTTCCCGCCACATTTATTTTTAAACCGCAACGTCCTGCAGCACCAGAGCTCTTGACAGACTGAATTCCAGCCAGTCTTGTTCTAGGAGATTAAAATACTACACCCCATCTCCTGGCTGTCCTGCTTTAAACAGGGCAATAATGAGTAAGAGCAGCTAACGTTTTGTTTGAAACTCATCTTAACTCCTACAACAACTGGTATTTCAGCCGAGCTGCTGGCCTGGACATTGAAACAGCTGAGAACTCGCACACAGTCCCATCAGCAGAGCACAGAATGGTCTGCTCTGACAGGAAACCAGTAACGAGCAAAGGAAGGAAGAGGGTCGGAGAACCAGAGCAGCTTGCTATGTGTGCACATGCCTAACCCTTTGGCCTTCTGCTGCTGTGAGGTAATGCACCACCATAAGCTGAGCTTTCAGGCACTTCCTGTCCTCCCACACATCTTAGCCCACTTAAACTATGCCCAGTTAACACTGCCATACCATTCTGGTAAAGTTGAGAACGAGTTTTCTTTTTAAAAAAAATTCAGATGAGGATTAAAATGTAAGTGGGAGACGCTACCTTCACCAGGAGGAACCGATGGCTCAGTTTCAGATTTGACAGTATTCATATTTTCAAAAGTTTTGGCACCTGGCTTATCTTGTTCCACCTCACACAGATACACATCAATGGGTCCTTTTGTGCTCTTTACATGTACTTCTATGCAGTCCTAGAAAACAATGACTTACATATTAACCAGAAGACCAATCTTATACATCAGTTATCTATTTTTACATATATTTTAAAGCCAACAGGTTAAGAGGAGAACAGATACAGAAGTGACATAACTACTTAAAATTGTGTTACTAGTTCCACATAAGTTACGAGTACTTAATACATTTTTAGGCCAATTATTAAGTACCATTAAGCTAACTAGGTTTCATTTTTGACATGCAATGCACCTAGTGAGTCTTTGTTTAGTCTTTTCACTGACCTCTTGATATATAGCCAAGATTTACCATATGCTTCGTATGAATAACAAATAAGAACTTTACCACCAATGCCACACATCAGCAAACAAATCAGAGCACATAGCAGCTTTAGTAGTATGGCAACACAAACCGTACTACCGCTTTCTTTTAGCAGACATCACATTGCAAAGCACGGAGTAAACCAAATCTATGGGAAACGGCTAGAAGAGTGTTTTCTCTAAAGTACAGCCTTTCAAATCTTGACTCCTTTTGCTTCAAGGAACCTCTAGGATCTTCACAGGATTAGACCCAGCTACTTTTACCAGTGACACCACTGGAGATACATATAGTGGATGTAAGTCTTCTGTATTGATTCCTTTTCCTAAGATATCCTCTCCCTTCCTGTGCACCCAAGTAAGGCGAATTTGAAGAAAGCATAACTAAGAACATTATAAAATTGCATATGCAAAAGAAAAACAGAATTAAATCCCCATTATTCATCTCAAGCTTACGTCCAGTATTTCTTCTTTCACAGCACTACTTTAAGCAGTGGGTTCACAGTATATGGGAGAAGATGCAGTGTAACTGGGTGCAGAGGGCAAAGCTATGGCTCTTCTGTGTGACCTGAATGGGGTGTGCATGTTGTATCATGAGGCAAGGACAGGCTACATCCCCCGCCTCCATCAAAAATCCATCTTGACATGATCTACTAGAACGCAAGAACAGTTTTGATCATACTGTACATCTCACACTTCAATATTATAGTGACAGCAGCTGTTGACTCATAAGACAACATTTACTTGCTGTTAGGATGATTATTAAATTAGGCATAATATTTTGTTTAGTTAGATTTCCAACTTTTATAGACTTTACTGAAAATATTAACAGCTGTTTGTTAGTTTCATTATCATAGTAATTATTGGACACCAATATTACATCTGTTCCATCATTTACTACAGCTGTTCCATCATCTCTAGCAAAACTAACATTTAGATATGTTTATACTATAATTTAGGCAAGCAAAACAAAATTCCTAAGAATAACCTTCTTAGATTACATATACCTACATATTATATGTATATCTACATTGTATAGATATCTATTATATGTATACCTACAGAATTATTTAGTGGAGCACAAGAACAACAAACTACCTGTACTTGCTATATATGACCAAGAAATTGGAAGTCAGTTGCTAATAACTGTTGCAAAACCAAAACAAACAAAAAAACAGAACAAACAAAAATTTAAGAACTTTTCTTCCCTTAAGAGGGGAAGGTATAAAACTTACTTCCTTAGGAATTGGTATTTCCAGTTTGGTTTCTTCTGGAGCTTTGATTGCAATCACAATCTGTTTCTGAAATGCCTGAATGCTACGGATATCTTGATATGTCACATAAGCTAGTGTATACATTGGTCAAGGATTCTGTATAGCAATTTGCTAATGGGCAGAAGCAAAGAGAATGTTAAGACATGCTGAAGCAAAATACCAATTTGGCGAAAAACAGTAAATATTTCAGCTGAGATTATTTCAATATTAGCTTTGTAAAATCAATTATTAGCTGACAATTGGAAAAACTTTTTTGCTGTTAGGAAGGGGAAAAAATTAAAAGTCAACACAGTATTTAAAAAACACACATTTGACAAACAGTCTTCACAGATGCTATCATAAATCTATGTAGCAGATGGAATACTGCTTTCAAGAAAGCTTTTTTTTTCCTTTTGTATTAATAATACATGGAAATCATATCCTAGAAAACAAGAAAATTACTTTCTTAACCAAACAGGTAAGGTATAATGATTTTTTTTTCTAGATATCATACATAAAATGAACACATTTCATTACCAATCTTTAGCACTGCTTTTGGCTGAATGCTAAGTTTTATTTTATTGTACCCACAGCCAAAATCCAGTATTTGTCATATTAAAACAAGCAACAAGGAACCCCCTTTCTATTATCAGATCACACCTGAAAGACAAGACTGCATTGGAGCCTCTCCCCAGAGACAGAACGCTATTAGGACATGATCAACGTACCATGGTATCTTCATGGCAAAAGGCCACTGGGCTCTGTATTGGGTCCTCTTTCTTATCTCAGTAAGCAACTCAATCTCACTGGTTGGTCAAGACCCGTCCCTGAGACAACTTTACTCTATAGTGGAGAGAACAAGGTAATGGTCAGGGTACTAAGACTACTGCCCCACTTCCATTTTTCTTTTCCTCATTACCACCCCCATCAGTTCCTTATCTCAGTAATATCCTGTTCCTTACTCTCACTGCCACTAGGATACTCTGTTTTTCTTTCCATGGCAGAGCACAAAAGGAATGAAGGACTTACAGTCCAACTCCAGTTTTTCCCACTCTACTTCCTCTGAATCTTCTGCAGTGGCAATGTCACATAAGTGGCCCTGCCCTGAGAACGGGCTAGACCATGTATAACACTACATAGCACAAGTCTACTATATACTAATATAAAATAACCAAGGAGTTCCTTGTTTCATTATCAAGTATTACGGCATACCTGTGGTATCAGCCTACACCTAATGCTAGAATGCCTGAGTGTTGGCAACCAAAACCACGAGTTAAAGTAATGCAAGAGTTAAAAGGATATTTTGCATTTTCTTTGTCATCTGTTAGATCAAATAACTGATGAGCACAATCCTTGATTAATTCATCCAGAGCTTCTTCCATGGCTGACAAGTCAGAGAGTTCATCTTTAAGGTTTTGCTGCTCTGCTGCCTTTCCAACAACTTGGTCAAGATTAGAACCTCTAGAAGAATATGAAAGTTGTCTAGTATGTTTATACAAGTAAAAGCCTTATACTGAATATAAAAAACATGCTAATATAGAAAGCAACCAGAAATTCTAGTATTCTTTACTCAGCTGAAACATGCTTCAATGTGCTTTTTTTTTTTTTTTTACATTTGATACTTAATATACCATGTAATTCAGACAACTTAAGGATAAAGAAAAACTTAAGATCTTTCTATCTATTAAAAATAACTCATTATGTTTAAAAATACTCTCAAAGGTATAAATACTAATCAACATTGCTGGGTTTCGTTGCTGAGAAATTAAGGGTTTCAAAGCCCACTTACACCCACTGGATAAGATTCTTAGATCTCTTCTGAATTAAGTGAATTCCATCCAATACATTGGTGATGTCATAAACTCTTCGTTTTCGTACTCCAAGAGTTGTTGCTACTTCGTTTAAATCAAGGACACCATCTGGAGCTCTTTTGACAAGATCCATGAATTTTCGGGTCAAGTAAACCAAAGATGCATCAAATCGAGGCCTTTTAGCCTTCAGGGTTTCTGTAATGTTTTGGTACAATATTCAGGGTAAATTACTACAACAATATGAAGTTCTTCTTAAAAAACAGTAGTCATGAAGTTGCAATGAATGTAAAAGTATAAAACACTGCAATTACAACACCTCTGGTTAACTATCGGCAATGTCAGGGCACAACCAGAGAGCCGCAGCTGTGTCATCTGCTCAGCGACACTGGTGAAGTGGTTATCCCTTTGGCCCAGAACAAATCAGAATGTCCCCCAAATGACTCTCAGGCATGGTTCAGGGACTATTTCAGGCCAGTCAGTTCCAGAGCCTGAAAGCTTAATGTATGAACAAAACGCAGCTTGTACTAGCTGTCCTCAGGGCCTAAGAATTGGTGATGTCACTCTTCAGTTTAATAAATACAAACAAAGATCTACAGTTACCAGGACACTATAGGTTTAAGAGAGACACCTGTACTATATAGATCTAGTACCAGCATAGTCTCATAAACAGCAGAAGAGTTACTGATGAACAGCTTCATTAATTTCAGGTTATTTATGCGTGCCTGACTACTTGTGTACTTTAAAGCATAAAAAAGTAGTAGCACACTTAAAAGTTCTGCTGGCCAATATGACTGTCAAATCCTGCTGTTATTTGTGCCTTGTCCTGCAAAGCAAGCCAGGTAATCCCTACGTAATCAAACTCTGACACTGAATAAAACTCTAGTCTAATGTTTCAAGAGAATGTGGGTACATAGGGAAGGAAACTTCCTTAGCAAATGCTACTTCAAACTTCATATTTTTCCCCAGATGAAGAACGTACACTTCTCTTCATAACTTACAACTCTCATTCTACGGCTACAGGATTGTCTGCTCTTTATTCCACATCTGTTCTGATGTGGAAGACTATTCAATTGGTGAGAAAAACAAAAGAAAATAACCAACTCAATTTCACTCAAGCTTGTATTTACATTTGTTAATGCCAGCTGAAAAATGTTTGCCAGCATAATGTCCCAGTCGTCTCTAAGTCACTTTTTCTGTAAGTTCATTTTCTTGATAGCAGCAGGGATTTATACTTGCAACAAATGGAAAGAGAAGAGGGAAAACCATGAAAAATGCATTGCTTTATGTTTGCTAGTTCATTTAGCATGCAGCATTCCTCTTGTTCTGCCTATATTAGACACACAATGATTTCTCACTTGTTTACAGCATGCATCATTGTAAAAAAAAAAAAAAAAGCATTAAATACTTCAAGGATAACCTTTACACATGGAATGCAGCAACTTACTTCTTACCACCTGCACGTCACCATCCAGATTCAAGTTGAGCATTGGTGGCTGGAGAAAAAAGTTAAAATGTAACTGACATAAAATACCATGGAAATGCAGGAAGCTTTTCAGGGGAAAAACCCCAACCCAACAACCCAACTCTGGTTGCTAGAGCAAGGGGAGTGCCAGCAACTCAACGGATATTACAGTGAAGGAATCTCCTTGGACAGAAGAGAAACATGCTCATTAACACCCATTTCAGCTCAATCACAGATCTCACCTTCTCGTAAAGCTGGAAACACCACCAAACCCTCTAATTCTCAGGCAATAGTCACAACACAGCCATCTGTATAAACTCTATAAATACTGAGTTTGGGACATTCCACATAACAGCTCACATACAGAAGACACGCTGCTATTATACAGCACTACAATTATTTTGTAGTAGACTTTCAAGCTAGCAGCAGCCTGCTCTGCTCACATAACCAACATGGCAAGTGCAAGTATTCACGTTATTCCATCTCCCCACTGCAATTTGACAAAATACTTACTCTAAATTCAGATTCATTCCAATTGGAAGACACCTCAGAAGCTTTCTGGTCCAACTTCACACTCAAAACAGGAATAGCTATTAGATAGACCAGCTTAGGTCTTATCCCACCATGTCTCCAAAGTTTTCAAGGATGGTGGCTGCACCTCTCTGGCTATCTCATTATACTGCTTGCCTATCCTTGTGATGAAGAAGTTTACATCAATTTGCAACCTCTCCTGCTTGTTCTGTGCAGATTTATGGCTCTTTTCTTTCAGCCTGTCATCACTGCTGTGAAGTGTCTGGCTCCAGCTTCTCGATAACTTCCTTGCAAGTGCTAGTGGGCAGCTACAGCTTAAAATGCTTCCTCAGCTTCTCCTCACAGATACATCCCCATACCAGCTAAGCACTTCTGACCCATCTCTGCTGGTTGCACTTAAGTTTATCAACCTCCTTCCTGTAGTGGTCAGCCCCAAATAGTATGCAGCATTCCAGGAGTAGTTTAAAACTTGGCAATAAAAGAGAATTACTTTATCTGATTTGTTGGCTGTGTTCTTGCTAATAAGCCTCATGTGCCTTGATACCAGGGCACGTTGTTGGCTCATGTTTATCCCACCCTCCCTAAGGACCCTCAGGTCCTTTGGGGGGGGGGCGGGCGCAGGGGAGGTACTCCCCCAGCATCTCAGCTCCCAGTCTGTATGACTGCAAGCTATCCAGATGCAGAATTTCAAATTTGAATTTTCAGTCACCTTGTCTGTCAGGTTCCTGATGATCCATTCCTCCTGCCTATACCTTTGTGCTCGTAATACCCTCCCCTCCCCATTTGCTGTTATAAACATCATAGGAGTGTATCTCATGTCCTCTTCCAGCTCACTGGTATTCAACAGGACAGGAACCTGTACAAAACCAGTCCTGGGGGCTGTCCAGACATGTCACAGTTCCCTGAGGAGCTCTGCCTGTAATGCACTTTCAGGTAAAATACGAGCCGTGGACCACTCCTCTTTGAACCTAAGGATCCAGTCAGTTTTACGCTCAACTACTACCTGTAAAATTCCAATTTAAATAGAAAGATGCTGCTGGAGACTGTTTCAAACGTCCTGCTAATATTAATGTATATGCCATCTATGGCTTTGGATCTACAATCCAGTCAGTTCATCACTGAAGTGAATCTGTTTGCAAGAACAGCCCATCAGCTATCCCCAACCACCTCCACTTTCTTGCACAACCTCTCAAAGATCGGACAGCAATCTCACAACGCCAGCTCTCTCAGACCCCCGCTGGATGTATCCCCATTAGGTCCTATGGTCTCAGACAGGTTGAGATTTCTCAAGAGATTCCTAACTTGTTACTTTTGCATCATTAGTTGCTCCTCTTTTCTTTGAGCCCTATCTCTCAGGCACAAGCCTAAGCGACAGCAGCTCTGAAGACACAAGTGAGCAGGCTGAGCACTTCATCCCCATCTAAGTCTGCTTTCACTAAGCCACTTCTCCCCTTTAGCAGGGAGTTCTCATTTTTCTTCCCTCCTTCAGCCTCAACCAAGGATGTTAAAATAAAAGTTCTTATCACCCGTGACACACCGTGGGATGTCCTTGCAGACCTCCACCCCTCTAGCTCCTCACCTTTCATTTGGATTTTGTGGCCAACACAATTTAACTCCAACCACCACCAGTTCCTCTAATAAAAACCATCAGGGAAAAAAATGGGTATCAACACCTTCACAGCTTTAAGCTAATACTACCAAGCAACGCTTAGCCCAAGGTTAATAAAGATGAACGTTTTAAAAACACGTTTCAGAGAATTAAGAGATTTATTTTTAATTAGGAACACGTTTCTCAGCATTAAGAGATTTGTTTTTAATTAGCAACACCCCAGCAGCGCTGAAAGCGGTGGAGGAAGGTGCATACGCAATTAACCAAACCTCACAGGCGCTCAGCGAGGAACCAAACACATGTTTACGGTCCGATTGCTGATCCCAAAAACACCTACAGCCCCCCCAGGTGTGCTGGCAGGTCGCAGGTAGCCCCGCTGCGAAGCCGCCCCAAGCCCGGCTGGGCTCCCCCCGGCTCTGCTGCCCGCCGCCCTCCTGCCGGAGCCCTCCCCGCTGTCCCCTGAGGTTCTCCGGCGGGAGAAGCCATGCGCTGCGTCCCCGTCCCGCCCTCGGGCAGCGCCTCCCTGTCCCGCCCGCCGTGTACCTCACTCACACGCAGCGTGTCCGGCTGCAGCGGCCTCAAGCTCTCCCACTGGGCAGGGGCGGCCATTTTGTGACCCCCGCCCTCCATTACCCAGCGGCCCCTGCCGGCGCCATGCCCCGCCCCGCCCGGCTGGGCAGAGAGGTGGAGCCGTGCCCTGAGGGGCGGCCATGGCTCGGGGCGCTGAGGGGTTTAATTGGGGGTGGTTTGTGGGTCAGGGGCCAGGTTCGGCTCCTCTAGGGGTAGAGAGGAGCCTACGAATGTCGTTTGCTCGAAACAAGGCTGTTTACATCCCAGCCAGACGTCACAAATCCTTAGTCCGTTGCTCCTGCCCATTCTCCCACCCTTCTGATAACATTTATCAAACTTCCTTGTTTGTCAGCATCAGTAGTGATTACAAACATTCTGGTTTAGTAGCTAACTTCCGCTTGTCAGACAAAGGCATTTCGACAAAAACATTTTGACATAACTCTTCGTTAAATTATTGATCTGATTGTAGTCGATGCCATTTAACTCCCCTCTAGCATACACTACAACAAATAGTCACGAAACTCCTTTCATAAAAGCTTTCTGAACCGTTGTGCTTCCTTGACTACCCAGTAGGTGACACTTCAAGGCACTCCCCCTTCACTGTGCTCGGGGAAGGTGCTGTGTAAATGATAAATGTAAATTTAATTGAACGTTGTGTAAAAACACCAGTCTGGTATGAGGAAGTCAAAGCCATGAAGGTTTGAATTCATCTGCTAATGTGCCAGCCTGGGCAGGTCAAGAAAAACTCTCTTATCTTGAAAAGATACTGAATGCCTTTTCATTTACTAGTGGTTTCATATCTCTTCAGGTTAGACATTCCTCTGGAGAAGCTTGTGTCACCACTGATAAAGCTGTTGCCTTGATGGCGTTTGCTTCTTGGTAACTTATTTTCAGTCAGTTACTTCTGCGGTAATAATTGTCTTTGTAAATATGTATAGAACCAAGGTGGGTTGTTCTCATGCTCCAATCAATTTATAAGAAAGAAGTGGTGAAAAATGTATACACTGGCAAGTATAGCTCCTCAAACGCAGAATAGGATGTCTATGTAACAGAAGATACAAGTTGTGCAGTTAAAGACGTGCAAACACTTCTTGTAAATATTGCAAGGAGAGCTTAGACTGGTACAAAGGCAAAAGGTTTTCCTGTCATGGAAGCAACAACACATCACTGAAATGTAAAAACACTCATTTTTACATGAGCCACATAATGCTTCCTAATTCCTTGATGGTGACAGGTGTAGTCTAATGAGGAATAAACATTTTTTCCTCCTTTGTTGTATTTTTAACTGGACACATACCTTACCATTGTAATCCCACTGTTATGAGGCGATTTTCTTTTTCAGATGGAACGGAAAAATGGTTTGGAGCAGATGTCTTGTGCCATTTCAGTTTAGGGTGATGCAAGGAATGTACCATGCAGTATAAAAACCATTGACTAGGATTTTGATAATTGTTGGGTGTTTAGATATTAGCAGGGAGGCTAACTGCTCAGAATTTGAGCATTTAGGTATATGAATTTCTGTATTAACCCACACAGAAAACACAGCATCAACATTTAACAATGCTGTTGTTCTAGCGAGTCATAAGATGAAATTCTGTTGTTCCTATGCTCCTCAATCCCTGGCTGGTGGAAATAGCAGAGCAAAGAAAAGCCCCACATGGCTTCAGATTCAGGAAGGTTTTTCTGCATTTACATTAAAAGTATAATGCTTAATCCTTTTTTTAAAGGGAAAATGAGATTTTGAAGAAACTGACTTAGGAATTTAGGCAGTGGCTTTCAATTGATCAGATTTTGATTCTAGTGTGTTTCTATTTACATTTTGTAAAGCCGACTTAAAATGTTTCCCACATTAATTCTTTATGCTCTTGCAAATGAAAATGTAAATTTTACCCCATTTACTGTTATCTTATTCTATGTAAAAATGACTGTGCAGTTTGTTTTTTAATATGTCTAATCACACTAGTAATGATGCTTAAAATGAAAGATTTATTTATTTATCTGAAATCATGTTTTCATCGATTGAATTGATTTTCGATCTGCCACCAGAGGGCAATAATTCCATTTACTAAATCGGAACTTTTAAAATGAATACATCCTACAACAGTAGTTTCATTACATTTCTTGAGGGACTGTATTTGAATGTGGAAATAAAATTTTCTTAAAAGCACTTAACTTGTGTAATTTAATGCCAATTATATTAATAAAATAAATCTCATATTTTACTTTGTGCTACTTAGGCGTGTAGGTTGTGCTTTCACTTTGAGCAGCTGAAATTAGTCTACTTCGTAAAATTTTTACTGGTGAACCTCATGCAGGGCTGTAAGGCTGCAAGTTTTAGATCTCATGCAAAACAGGATTTTTCTATTACCACTGTAATATTTTAAAATTTGTTTTGAATGCCACTATGTTCACTTTCTTTGTTGTTGTTGTTGTTGTTGTTGTTGCACTAATGTTCAATTGATATTTAATAGCCTATATATGTAATCATAAATTTGGGAATTATGTCATCTGACAGATACCTTTATATACGTATTTGATATGTATTTATTTTATTTATGTATAAAGTAGTTCCAACTTGTAAAAGTAGTTCCAACTTCTTCACTAGTTAAAGTGAAGGCCTTATTCTGCTATACAATTTGCTATACAAAAAGCTATACAATTTTGTCTCAAATGCCATCTTCCCTTTAATGGCAATAATCTTGCAACTGGGTCTTCCAGAAGGTGAATATGTACTGTTAAAAAGATGAGCCAGAGCTAATATCTTCCTGAAAAGGTGAAAAAGTGCAACATCATGAAAGACAGATGATAGATGTATCTGTTTAAGCTGAATGTTTTTGTATATCTTTATGTCTGTTTGTATAAACTTCCTAGTCTCCCTCAAATCCTATTAAGATCCTGATCACTACATAACAACTATGCATAAAGAGGTGGAACACTACCGAGTAATTTTTGATGCTATAAAATTTAATGATTTAAATGTGTTTCTGGTGATAGTACAGTCTTTCTTGATGTGCTCAGCTTAATCTGACTGAAAAAAAAAATGTTGCTGTATACATAGTGAATACTCATCCATTAATTTAGAAAGCAAATCTTTTCTTTCTTTACTTTGTCACATGAGTACGAGGAAGATTGAGTCAGTTAATCAGATCTTAACAGAACTTGAGCAGAATTTTTATTTATTTATTTATTTATTTATTTTTGGTGAGGTACTGAATTGCACACTTGAAATAAAATTAAAAGTCGTGGATACGGTATCATGGTAGAGACACAGGTTTCAGCACATGATATAAACTGAAGCCTTACTTTTTTAACCTGTTGCCTAGAGAAGAATTACACGGAAGGAAAAAGTAACTTGAAGGGTATATTTGGATACTCATTTACATTAGGGTTATGTAAACAGCAAGCACTTGCCGCATATGAACACTGGTGGATTTTATTGAAAAAGTGCAGTGGCTGTTGTGTTCTTGGTAAGGTTTTGAAACTTGGAAGAAATCCATCTCCCATCTAAAAGAACCTGAGGATGTCTCAACAAAGGGAAATGTTCTTCCCTGTTAAACAGTTTATGAACAGAATATCCTGTGGCAAAACGGCATTGTTATATTTGTTTGTATCTTTTGAGTTGCAGAGAAGATTGTTGAAGAAGCACCTTAAAACTGTGGGATAGGACATGAAAGAGGGCTTAATTTATGTTAAACTTAGATGAGGAGCTCTATGATACCAAAAAGGGGTGAAGATTCTCAGTTCCTTTGCTCAGTAGCAACTAAACTGCTTCATTTCCCCATCTGCTTTAATGCTAATGACGAAATCTTTTATTTCTCCTCATGATGTTTATATTTAGTTTGAAAAGTAATATCCCAACCTTATTTGTGACTGTGATGTTACTGTTACAGTAACATTTAAAATGACCATCAAATAATGACCCCCCCACAAATATATCACCTTAAAATAAAAGTTTTGCATTTTCTAAAAGGAATAGGGGAATTAAATTAGACTAATTCTTCTCTCCACTCAGCAGTGGTGAGGCCACATCACCTGTGTCCAGTTCTGGGTTCCTCAATACAAGAAAAATAGGGATATACTGGAACAAGCCAGCTCAGGGCCACAAAGGCCCTGGAACGTCTCCCAAGAGATTGGGAGTATCTCCCAAGAGATTGGCCAGTATTAAGATTGCTTTTCTGTTACATGCAGAACTGGTTAAAGGCTTGTTTGAAAAAGCAGGTTGTAAATTCTGATGACTAAAAATGTGGAAATATCAAGAATTTTCTGAGAGTGACTTGCAGGTTGAGGGGGAAACAATATCTTTTCTGCTCGATTCTTTCCAAGAATTGGTTAAACTCTATTTGAAATTATGACAAGTGTCTTTGAATTTTGACAAGAAGTTATATACAATTCATAATGTTAACTTCAGGAGACACCTCTGTTTATGAATTAATGAAAAGTGAAACTGAATGCTTGCTTTCCACCTAGCTATTCAACTAATAATTTTTATAATGCAGCAGAAAGCTATAATTAGTCATAATGTGATTTTGAAAGATGAATAATAAAAAGTTCTAATTATTTTTATTGATTAGTGAAAATAGTTCCCAAATCACCTGATGTATTTCATTTTGTCAGCTTGAAAATGAAGCATGTCCTGATAAGATGGTTGCCTTTATATCTTGAATTTCAAATTATGGTAATTTTTATTTTATCTATTTGAAGTTGTTGTTGTTGTTATTATTATTATTATTATTATTATTATTATTATTATTATTATTATTATTATTATTATCTTCAGATGAGGATTGTTCCGTTGTGGTTAAAATGTGATGAGAAAAAGGTTGATGAAGGCATACCTCCAGTTAATGTCTTTATTAATTTTATTTAATAATATTTAAAAAATATTTTATAGCACCTACTTGAAATTATAGTAAT